TTCAGCGGTGGTGGAAGACACCAATAAGGGGAGGAGAGGGGAATCAGAGCAGAAGCAGAGGCAGGGGAATAGGTGGAAGAGAAAATTCCCAGAGGAATGTGTGGTGGAAGTTGAAAATGGAGGGGGGCGAGGTATGGGAGGAAGGAGAAGGGAGGGATGAGGATTTGGTTGAAGAGTGATGCGGTTGTTGGAAGAAAAGAGAGGATGGGTGGTGGAACTAGTTGAAAATGAAAATGAGACTTTATCTTGGAATGTTAGGGGTTTGAGAGAAGGAAGAAGAAAGGTTTTGGTAAGGAATGCGTCAAGGAAATTTTATTCAATTGTGGTGATGCTACAAGTTCTAAAAACAAAAAATTTAGAACTCAAAAGCACAATTTCAATACTACACTAGAACTTAGAACTCAGTACTCAGATGATATCTAGTGTAGAATTTTAATACTATACTAGAACTCCAACCTTCTCCTATAACAAAAATATTCTCAAGAAGCACAATTTCAATAGAGATTTGGACGATAGTCAGGAACTACCAACAAAAAAAAATTAAACATGTCAGAATTTCAAGCTTTAGAACACAGAAATGCCAACTCATTAACCCAATATGCAAGCTTCAGAATACAATGTCTTACCAAATGGATCTGCATAAATCCAGGTATATAAATGTAATTTAGGGAGGGTTCTGTTTTTGAAATCTGTGGCTGGTAGGTTTGGTATATATTGGTGCTTAACTCCATGAAATCTTAACCCTCCAAAAAAGGCCAAAAAACAATGAAGAAAAATGGGGAAAATAAAATGACTAGGTGGAGACTTCTGAGAATGCTCCAAGAAAACAAAGAGGAAAAATTAAACAAGGTGCAAAATAAGATAGATCTGAGAGGAAAACAGTGAGAAAAAAAGTAAAAGAAGAGCAATTAGAGATGAAAGAAAAACAAGTAGCTCGTTAGTCATTACCTCAAATTGAGCTGGAGTCTATGCCTGGGTTCAATGATGCTGGAGGGAGAATTGGAGAGAAAGAGGGAGAGTTGGTGAGTCAACGGTGGTGTTTGGGTTGATGGAGCGAGAGTTGAAGTCCGAAGAGGTGAGAAATCCTAAATGCCTTTAGAGGGTTTGAGCTTGAGAGTCTAGGGTTCTTATTTGAGAGTTTGGAAGTTTAGAGGGAGAGAGAGTTATGAATCAGGAGATTGTTTTGAGAGTTAAGAGTCAGAGGGGGTTATATATTAGGGTAAAAGACTTAACCTCCCTTTAAGTATGTGATAGATACACCCCCTCTAAACTTCTAGGTTTCAGTTCCTACCTATTGGTTTAATAGAGGAAGCTCTTGATCATCCAAAGAAAGACCATCAGATTTTTAAAACTGGAGAGAGGTAAATCGTTGCAAACTACTTCCCAATAACTCATCAGTTATGAAGTAATGGAGTTCCCAATACAAATGGGTTGGCAGGGGCAGGACCTACAAAAAAAATACAAATGGATTTACAGAAGGAAGAGAGTGAGAAGTAATGGAGTTCCCGATAATGAGCAGAGGGGGGAGAAGGTGCAAAACCAGTCACAGGCTCCCACGGAGCAGGAAAATTTTCCTGAGAACCAAGATGAGTGGTATTGATTCTGATACTAATGGAACCCAGCTGTCGCAGGAGACAGGAGAATGGTGGTGATGGAAAAGACTCAAGTGATGTGACTATCAAAAAATTAGTCGACAGAGAGGTAATGGTGGGGCAAGCTTGGGCCTGTTTTTCTAGGGTGGCAAGGAATTTGCCAGGAAGGCTTTTAAGAATTTTGAAAGAAGGAAAAGGGAAGAGAAAGAATTGTAGCTTTGGTTGTGTGTCGGGTGTTTTCCATTTTCAGGCTGGGTTGTATTTTGTGATCTTTCTCTAAGTATTGTTTGGGCTTTTCATGGGAGTTTTCTATGGTTGTTTTAGGCTTTTGTGGGTTTGGTGGGGTTGCTCAGTTAGCTTTGGTGATATCTTATCACCTATTGCTGTACTTTTTCCTTTTCTATCAATATTTTTTTTCTCTTGATTCTTCAAAAAAAAAAAAATCATCAGTTATGAAGTGGATTGGCACCACTTGGGGTGGTTCTCTTTTGTCTTGCAGAGACATCAATGCATCATGATCAATCTTTCTTTCGAAGCCATACTTATTGAAAATATCCTTTTGTTAAAGCTGCTAAAGTTGTTGTTTTACTTGCATATCTTGACTCGCAAGAAACATTCTTGGGTTTTTGCTGAAAACTAAAATCAGATATCACTCATATAATTGAGAAAAAAAGACAACACAAATACCATATGAGCTTGCTGAATCACGATTGTGGTTTCGGTGTTGGGTAGGGGCAAAATTAGGTTTTTATAAAATTTTACCTGCCCATGATTTCACTTGCAAATGGATTGTTAATGAAGGGGAGGTTTCTGTCTGATGACGTCACCCAATAAGAGAGGTTGTAGTCTATTTTCAAAAGAAACAGGGGGTTCCAATATTTACTGGAAATGTGAAGGGAGCTTTAAGTCTTTTGCCCTATATTTTATTATTATTATTATATATATTTTGGTTTACGGTTTGGTTTGATTTTTAAAAGTCAGAAATCGAATTGGAACTGTAAACTGAAATATGAAATTATTCCAAACTGAACCAAACTGTTTCTAAGTCCAGACTTGAGCCCCCACTTTCAGTTTGGTTTGGTTGGTAGTCTGGACTGTATAATGAACTTCCCCAACCACAATGTTCACCGAAAGGGGGAACACCAACTCATCGGATGCACTTCATGGAGTGTATTCCTTTGAGCTGTTTATCTCTAGGAAACCCTCACAGAGGTCTCAAATTCTTCGTGTGAGCCTGATATTATTTAGATACTATGGGAGCCCATAAATAATAATCTAGACAAATCCAAAGGATATATCATAGGATTTTTGTCACACCCCAGAGAATGCAGACCAAGGTTCCAAATGTAATAAAGCCCTTTTAAAGCTTTGGGATCTAGTGTTCAAGACTCTTTGTATGTCTTCTTTAGAAGGTAAGATGAACAACCATTTCTTCAAATTGATGCACCTCACCCCAACTCCTTGAGGGTGTACTAAACTTTGTTAACCCATTCTTGCAAACCCTCTACCCTTTCTTTCCAATTGAAGCACCCAAGCAAACACAATTGCAAGAGATGGGTTCTCTCTTCCACATTCTTAACGAAGTAAGATGAACAACCATTTCGCCAAATTGATGCACCTCACCCCAACTCCTTGAGGGCGTAACTAAACTTTGTTAGCCCATTCTTGCAAATCCTCCACCCTTTCTTTCCAATTGAAGCACCCAAGCAAACACAATTGCAAGAGATGGGTTCTCTCTTCCACATTCTTAACATTGACTTCTATGTGGAAAAGATTGAGATTGGCTTTGGTAAGTGCTTTGCCTCTGGATGACCACTCTCGTTGAAAGACCTCGATAACATTTCTACCGGTCTGTCTGTCCAATATTTTTTGGTTATATCACAATTTATCTATAATCTGTTGTATTGGTTTGTCTAATGAAGCTTCTTCTTCTTCTTCTTCTTCTTCTTCTTCTTCTTATATAGTTATATAGTTATAATTATAACTATATAATATAGTTATAATTATAGTTTAGTTGTGTTTAAAATTTTATAGTAATTAGCTATGTAGTTTAGTTGTATTGATATTGCTTTGGACCAAAGTATGACGGTGGTAATTTTCTATTGTGAGTTTTGTTTTCCTTAGTTCAAAAGCTTGGTGAATGACATTAGAATATTTTTTTGGTATTGTGCTTATGGCGAGTGATTTCCATAAACCCTAAAGTGATTCTAGGCCTTCCTTTAAGTGGTGTAAATCTCTCTCTCTCTCTCT